CATAGATCCAAGGTATTTAGGGTTGCATGTACACTTAGGAGTGTTAGAATGCTCATAACCCAACAAAGAAGGAGTCCATTTCAATGGAAAAAGATGTATCCATGGATCCTTGTGAATATTTCCTATTTAGGAAACAACAATAGTTTCCTTTAGCTCGACAAGAAAGAACCGCTCCAAGTTTTTGAGCCTTGTCCACTCCGACGTATGTGGACCCATTGAAGTAGAATATATTGGTGGAAGCAGGTACTTTGTGACATTCATCGATGATGCATCACGAAAGGCGTGGTCTTACTATCTCAGGTCAAAGGATCACACATTGAATCGCTTAATGTTTTTCATGTAATGGTGGAAAGACAAACAAGAACGCAGCTGAAATGTATCCGATCAGATAATCGAGGCGAGTACTATTCCCATGAGTTTTCTACATACTACACGAATCATAGTATCAGGCATGAAAAGATTTCCCCTCAAACCCCACAACACAATGGTGTAGCAGAACGGATGAATCGCAACATTGTTGAGAAAGTTTGATGCATGCTCAACATTAATAAACTCCCAAAACCATTTTGGTTTGAAGCTGTATTGACAACTTGCTATCTAATAAATAGGTCACCTTCCATTCCACTGAATTTTGAAGTTCCAGAGAAGATATGGATCGATAAAGACATCTCATCTTCTCACTTGAGAATATTTGTGTGCAAGATGTTTGCACATGTATATAGTGAATTACAGAAGAAGTTAGACCTTAAATTCACTCCATGCATCTTTATTGCATATGGTAATGAAGAGTTCTGGTATAGGCTATGCGACCCATAACTAAAGAAGGTTATTCAAAGCACAGCTGTGGTTTTCTATAAAAACCAATATTATGATTTTAAGGCATCGGTTAGGGAGCGACTGAGTTCCAAAGTTTCAGAAATAATATTTGAAAATAAAAATGATGTTTCCAGTGAAGAAGAGGATAAATAAGTTGATGTTTCGGATCAAGAAGGTGTTGAGAAAGTGGAGCTTCCACCGAATGATACTTTAGATACATTGCCAGAAGTTGCAAACGAAGGAATTTAAGTTAGACGGTCCGAACGAGTCTATGCTCCATCAACAAGATATCCTACTTTAAACTACATCCTTCTTACTAGTGAGGGGGAGCCATGGAGCTTTCAAGAAGCTCAATAACATATTGACAAAGCAAATTGGCAGAAGTCCATGGAAGAAGAAATGAATTCTTTTCAGAGGAATCAATGAGTTATTGAAACTCCCAAAAGGAAAGAAAATCTTGAAAAACAAGTGGGTGTTCAAGTTGAAGAAAATGGCAATGGAAATACCATGAAGTATAAGGCGAGACTCGTTGTCAAATGGTTCCAACAAAAAGAAGGAATCGGGTTTGATGATATTTTTTACCGGTTGTGAAGATGATGTCTATTCAATTTGTACTCGGATTGGCTGCTAGTCAAAATCTTGAACTTGAGCAAATGGATGTGAAAACATACTTTCTCCATGATGATTTGGATGAAGAAATATACATGGAGCAACCTGATAGATTTAAAGTCCCAAAGAAAGAGCATCTCGTCAGTATATTAAAGAAATTTTTTTATGGTATTAAGCAAGCCTCAAGGCAGTGGTACAAGAAGTTTGACTCATTCATGCTGAGTCACGACTACAAAAGAACACTTACAGACCACTATGTCTACCTGAAGAAGTTTCCAGATGGGAATTTTGTCATCCTTTTGCTCTACGTGGATGATATGTTGATAGTGGGCCAAGATGCAACGATGATCGACAACTTGAAGAAGGATTTTTCTAAGTTCTTTGATATAAAAGACTTAGGCCCAACACAACAGATACTGGGCATGAAAACTTTCTGTGATAGAAAATCAAGAAAATTGTTCTTATTAAAGGAGGAGTATGTTGAACGTGTGATCAAAAGGTTCAACATGGAAAATTCCAAGCCCATTGGTACGCTCTTGGCTAATCACTTCAAGTTAAGTAAGAACAATTGTGCCTCTTCTGAGAAAGAAAAATAAGAGATTAAAGCAGTCCCTTATTCCTCAACCGTAGGAAGTCTTATGTATGCAATAGTGTGTAGAAGACTAGATATTTCTCATGTTGTCGGTGTTGTGAGTAGATATCTAGCTAATCCGAGAAAGCAACATTGGGAAGCAGTCAAGTGGATACTCCGATACCTGAAGGGTAGTTCGAAACTATGTTTATGATACGCGGGAGCAGAGCCAATCGTTGAAGGTTATATAGATGCCGATATGGCTAGAGATCTTGATAATAGGAAATCTAAATCAAGTTACATCTTCACTTTGGCAGGGGAGATATCTCGTGGCAATCCAAGTTACAAAAGTGCGTAGCACTGTCAACAATATAAGTCGAGTATATTGTTGTCGTTGAAGCTGGGAAGGAGCTTCTATGGATGAAACAGTTTCTTCGAGAATTAGGCTTTCCACAAGAAGAGTACATCATTCATTGCGATAGTCAGAGTGCTATGGACCTGAGCAAGAACTCGATCTACTATTCCCGTACAAAACACATTGGTATCCGTTATCGTTAGCTTAGAGAAGCAATCGAGAGACGAGAGTTGAAGTTATCAAAGATCAACACAAATGACAATCATGCAGATATGTTGACCAAGGTGGTGACACAAGAGAAACACAAACAATGTGTTGACATAGTTTGGGATGAGGATTTTTGGATGGAGACTGGATGGGGACATTTGTTGACTTCCAGTCTTCATCTTAAGCCCACCATTTTTTATGGAAACATTTTCTTCCTAGAGTGGCAATCTTTTCTTCCTACTCTACGATGAACACAATTAATGAAGGTTGCACAAATGGTGGTTGGCATGGGTATAAATAGAGGCTTCATCTTTAGTTATGATGCATCCCAAAACACAGAGAAATAAAGCATACCACTTAGAGTGAGAGTGTTAGTGAAAGGGTTGGTTTTTTGTAATAGTTGAGTGTGAGAGTTGCTCCTCCTATTGTAATTATATTTTCGTGTTAAATAGAATAGTTTTCCAACCCCTGCAACAGATCCCAACCCAGACTCGACTGTGATTGAACCACCCATCGGTTGTTTGCCACTATTTATCATCCGCTGGAGCATTATGGTGCGAAACTCAGTAGATTCCAAGCGATCCTTCTCCAAAATATGGAAGGAAGCCTTGATATCAGCCACATCTGCCTGCAAGCGTTGAATCTACTCATCATGAACATCCATTCAATTTTGTTGACCTTGTGTCTCCATTGATTTCTAAAACCCAGCAGGCCACATCAGGTCGGACCAGTGATGAAACTATGAAACTGATTAAGCAATAAGAAGGATAGTCTTAGAGAAGAAGAAGATGATGAAAGAAGAAGAAGATGAAAGGATCAAAATATTTGCAATAACCAAAAAGTGGTCGCGGGAATATCCCTCTCTCCTAACTATAATGCTCAAGAGCCAATCACAATGAGTAAAATTCTAGACATCTGGTACAAGCCATATCCTGCCTTATTTATAGAAATCTCCTTTCTAACCAACTTTAAGCATTTTCCATATTTTCCCCTCTCTTTCTTCTACAATACACCTATAGTACTCTTGGTGGTACATAGCACATGAACATTCGTATCACTGACTTTTTCTTGAGGATGATTAATTATCAAGAAAATCGAGTAAAAAATAAAGCACTCGATATAACCACGTAACTAGAGTTGCGATTTGCAGACTCTAAGTATGTTGGAATCAGCACTCAACTTCTAGAATCATAAAAAACGTAAGTATGCAACATTTAGTTGTTTATAGTTATATTACACTCAAGTTAAAGTACATGATATTCAACCAATTCAAGTTTCACAGCAATATGATATATAGCCTTGTAAGTCAACATAACAAGAACGACCAATGAAACCATACTGAATGATATATTTGGTTTTTGCATGCAAGAAGTTATTAAAGTTGGTTTTTCGACATGGATGCACACATTTTTCAATAAGCTGAAAAAACATCCTTGTAAGGATCTCCAAATGTGGTAACGTTTCCCGGTCTTGAGAACACAACCTTCAATCAACAATAAAACACAAAGTATTGTGATTTTTTGTATTTTATAAGGATGATAGCTGCAATAATTATTGGGGAAAAGAAGAAATGGTAACTCCATAACTATCAAACTAGCTCAATGCAATTTTTACTCTAAAAACATGCCTATTACATTCAAACATATATGTGTGTATAGAATTTCAAAATCATTTTGAGAAGGAAAAAACTTATGATTTTGAAATTAATGGTTGTAGCTAGAATATCTGCTCAAGTTATATAATAGGTACCTGGTAGTTCCCAAGTGTCTTGGTCTTAAAGCCAGCAGCTGCAAAATCAAAATAGCACTCGAATGTACGGATGAATTCTTGGTTGAAGCCCAACGCAAGTATTTTGCTAGGAGTTACATAAATAAACAAACATTAGGTAAGTCATGAATGAGATAGCAACTAATAAAAGGATAATTTCTTTCTTTACCTTTGGTTTTGCATTAAGTTTTTCCTCCAGTGTCTGAGTGTTTGATAATAATGTGCTCCTATGTTCTCCACATGCTCCACACTGCAAGACGTTAAGCATTTGATGAGATTCTAGGCAACTAAAAAAGTTACAAAGAATTTTTTACATGTAACATGGTGATCTCCGATGATTTTAGCACTTACCAAAGTCTAGAGGATGCAGCCATGGCTGATGTTAATCTAGTAAGTGAAGGTATGCACCCTCCCGGAAATATGTATTCTCTAATGAATCCTGGGGTCCGTCGTAACTCATCATATCTTGCATCTTGAACTGAAATGAACTAATATATTCCAAACATTGTAATTGTAAGCTACTAATATGCTTTAAATTGTTCATTTTTGTCGAATTGTAATTATAAATTCATAGAAGTATACACTTTCTCTTTCTAATGATTTTATATATGACCTTATATGATCGATTAAAATAATTAGTTTCCTCCCATAGAAAGAGAGAAATCGAGTCCAGAAGATACCTGCAGGACAAAAATCCCATCCTCTGCCAATACTGATTCACAACATCTAAAAAACTCTTCATAATATTCATGGCCGACATGTTCTATCATTTCACTGAAAATACACACTCAGCTCCTTAGACAACCATATGTGTTTCAATGCAATCATAGAGACGAGATTTGATCAAACTCACCAGGATATAATTCTGTCATATTTGGAAGTGTCAGGCAATTGCCTGTAGTCACATAGTAGAAATTTGATTTTGTCCTGAACAATGAAGTGGATTTATTACAAACTCTAGGAAGGAAGAAAAAAAACTTGAATGCTAAAAATCAAGTCTATTAAAGAACTTGAAGGAGGAAGACGAGTGAAACTCAATTACTCAAAGCTTTGCAGGAGATCATGGAAATAAAATTCTAGATTCCAGAATACATCTGATGGTGATTTTCTCTTTTAAATTAAATCTTATCTTTTTCTTTCGGTATTTCTTAAAACCCATATATACCTCTAGGCCAGCTTCCTTCACTTTAGTTTCTGCATATTTGAGTTGCTCTTCAGAGAGGGTGATGCCTGTGTATTTACATCCAGTTTGTTTCACTATTTCAATAGCTAAAGTTCCCCAACCACATCCTATATCAAGAACTTGGTGGTCCTTATCAACTCTTGCCTAGACACGTTTTACAGGAAAAACATCAGTCGTTTCCTATAGGTCATTTTCTTTAAGACAACGACAACAAGATATGTAAAAAACTTACCTTTTGAATCAACGAAGATATTTTTCTCATTTGTGCAGCTTTGAAGTCTTCATCCGCGCTCTAGTGAATGTTCCATGACAAATGAGTACGCTAATTGAATATATAACAAGGAACAATGAAACTGAAAACTAATTTGAAATCCTAACCTTGAATAACGCACAGGAGTATGACATAGTCTCGTCAAGGAAGAGGGAAAAGAACTCATTACTCTACAGGAAAACCAGATGAATATCACGATAACATAACTTGGAACTAATACATATGGTAAGTTATGTACTTATGTTCTAAGAAATAATTTTACAGCTACAAAAAATTTATTCAATAATGAAATTTCATGGACAACACTATGAAAAGGAACTTTGCAACAATCACTAGGAGGCTTGCATCAACACACAAAATATCAACCACATTAAGAACATAGAATTGCGTTAACTGGATTAATCGATGTAAACATGTTGCTTGTGGGGCCATGAAACATCATGAACCGATTTACTACATAATCAAGTTGTTTAGACTTTTGTAGTTTAAATGCCATAATTTTTTATGCTCCAGGTTTTATTCGTTATTTTAGATTTTCTAGCATTATATATTTTGGCAAAACTATGTCAACCGTGGATAGTGTTGCATCCGTCTTTATCTGAATTATCATGTCTTTGTTTTATACTATACTTTTTTTCTCCATACCAACCATATTGCTAGACTAAAGCTAGCAACAAAACAAAAAAACAGACCAATTGCAAGTTTGAGGCCATTGTAAAATGCATCGACACTCAATCAAACCTATCCAAGATAATATTTTACGCATACTATAAGTGATCCACAACAAGGCTTTAACATCAAATAAAGTTTCAATACATGGTCGTTTAACATGGCAGTAATCACACTATGAAACCTCCAAATGGACTAGAAGACAGCTTACACAATATCAATACTACTCCTAGATAGAACCTATACATATTAATCAAATCTGCCATAACCTCATCTACGGATTCATAATGGTCTTTAGGGCATCCACAACGCATTGAACTTATTAAAGTTTAATGTATTGATACATCATCATTTTACTTTCTATACAACTTTATATTAATATTCTTACAATGCATTCAACTCTACAAAGTTCAGTGGAATATATTTTTAATAATTAAAAAGCTTTCTTTTGCCCATTAAAGAGTTTAAAGGCTCTTGATCTCAAAGTTCAGTAGAATATATTTTTAATAATTAAAAAGCTTTTTTTGCCCATTAAAGAGTTTAAAGGCTCCTGATCTCAATATCCATTGAATACCAACATGGCATCACACAATGGTAGAGTTTAATCTGTTTAGTGTTAACTAGTCATATCACCTCACTCAACTCTCCTATTGAACTATGCATTGTTGATGCTATTAGACTAAGTTTATTATCAACCCGTTCTAACGTGTTTTTTCATTAAATTTTTTTTCTCTCACATCCACATATAAAACCAACTAAACTCATTTTTTTTACCATTTATCAAGAACCCAACACAACCAACAATACATTGTATATGAGAGTTTTATATATATATATATATATATATATATATATATATATATATATATATATATATATATAGAGAGAGAGAGAGAGAGTAAATTACACGAATGGTCCCTATGGTTTATGGTAATTTGTACGCTTGGTCCCTAACTTATTTTTTTTAACTCGGAAGGTCCCTACTGTTTGTTTTTATTACGCGCTTGGTCCCTACTGTTTGTTGTTGTTATGTGTTTGGTCACTGTCTTACCTAAAAAGAGTGTTATTTAAATAGGGAAAATGGTAAGGTAGGTAAGGTAAGGTGAGGGGGTGGGGTTGGGGGTCTGTTTATTTAAATAAATTAAAAAATCAATGGCAAAATAGTCTTTTTAGGTAAGAAAGGAACCAAACGCGTAACAAAAACAAACAGTAGGGACCTTCCGAGTTTAAAAAATAAGTTAGGGACCAAACGTGCAAATTACCCTAAACCGTAGGGACCATTCGTGTAATTTACTCATATATATATATTAAAAATATATCAATATTATACTCTATTTATAGGAATTAAAAACCATAAATTTTGATATATATTTTTAAAGCTTTTAAAAAATATATTATCTAATATTGAGTTATTAAAATGAAAAGAAAAAAAATAAAATCTAGCCAATCTTGTTGTGCTGTGTAAAAGTTGAGGTTGTGGGCTTATGTTCATGTTTTGTTAACGTAGTTGGAAGATGATATGGAAGTTTTAAATTTTATATATAAAATATGAAAACATAAGTAAAGAAAGTTTAATGCATGTACTACTAATGTAATGCAATACTTAAAAAGGTTGTTGATCAAACCGCACAAACGCCTGCATTGTATCAAACCGCACCACACCACATTATGGGGTTTAGAACCTTTACGGTGTGGTTTGTACTTTCCATTGAAGTGACCCTTGTAAGAAATACATCCCTTAACTCTTTGAAATTTGTCAATGTGTTTGAAAATTACCTTCCCTTGAGCTCTTATAACAATTTATGACAGTGAAGCATTAACACAAGTGTAGTAGAAAGAATTTAGTGAGAAAGATCAACCAATATATTTTAGCGTAGAAATAGCCACATGTTTCTATTAATGCTTCATTTTAATAGTACACAAAAGAGTAGAAAAATCAATAATGTGAAAATGAAACTGATAGGTATTGGCGATTTTAGTGTCAGCGACCATTTCATGTATTTAGAACTAACAGGAGTGCTAATATGGATTTAAAATGTGATCTAGTACAAGTTAGATGATGCGGGATGCACACTTCTCTATAAGACAAAATCCTTAACATAGAGAAAGGTGGTATCAAGGGGGACGTGCCCCCTTGCAGGGTCCAACGTACAATGTCAATTTGTTTTGCAGAATATTTGTGTTAAAGGCATGATGATAAATATGAAGATTTTTGAAGACACTGAAGATTCATGAAAAAAAAAAATGAAAGAGAATGACTAAGATGAAAACTTTAGTCCATTGAAACTTTTGGATAATGATAAAAGATTTTGGATATAGGGTGATTAATGAATGTTCCTATGATATATAATTAAAATACTTGTAAAATTGTTTAAATTGAATTCAGATGGTATGTAGATATTTCAGCGAGTTGAATATCTTCTTGTAACATAAACATTTGAAAAACATGTTTAGTACAATGTTATAATGCATTCACAACTCTGATGTTTGTAACATCCAATTCAATATTTAGCCTGAAAAGGGCACAAGTATCTTTAGGAGAGACACTGATTCATGGTCTCGAACCATCTTGTATAGAAGAGGAGGGGATATCATGTCGACTAAAAACCATAATGATTAGAATCGTTAGGCAAATTCTTAAAAGGATTATGGTGTAAGAATGCCTAACATATATCGTGTACTTGATTTTCCAACATAATGGATGCTCATTTTTAGCTAGGCATGTTATCATGGATATAGGTGTTACTGCACCACGCCAATATATCATTGTATATTTAGTTTTTCTTATGCTTGTTTATCGTTTTATGGTGAATGTTGTAATATTTTTTACATAGTGTGGTAACATTATGATAAAAAAGATTGTACAATTAAGATGTAAAATTTTCCACGTACCAAATCATAGTGATGAGATATGTTCCTACGTGCTTGAGTAACAGAGTTCTGCATCAAAACATGATGAAAGAAATACTTTGCCGATCCTATTATCGATGTTAAAAGCACTGGCGTCCACCAACCTCTGTATCCACAAACAATGAGTTCTATTAATTTAATGAACAATTATAAACTGTGAAACATGTGATCGTTTTGTATAAGCTATATTTACCTTTTGTTAGACCTTGAGGAATAATTTTTTAATTCATTGTTTACAATGAAAATCTGCAAAACTAGCATACTTTAATGTGAAAGCACGAGAAAAATACACTTGAATAGAAACCATAAGCGATGAATTTTACCATAATCATGTTTAATAGGCCTTCTGTTTTATCAACAAAGGAGAAGTCCCCATTAATGTATGCGCCAGCTAGACCTAAGTCAGCTTCTGTAGCAAGCTGCAAATGGATTTGTGCATCGCAAATCATTTGAGTATTACTAGATAATTGTCATAATTAAACATGTTCATGGATGTTTGAGCTATTATTGTAAGAGATCATAAAGTCTTAATATAGTGATAACCATGCCCAAGAGATATAAAACAAAGTTAGAGCATTGACCTTCCAATAAAATCGAGGATTTTGAATTTTCAGATAAACTTTTAAAGGATTCTTCTTTCTTGTTCCTTCAAATGTGAAAGTTACACCACCTTCTTCCAATAAACTATAAGAAATTGAAATAAGGCTATGCTTAATACCAACCTTTATTTAGAAATGGAATAAATAGGCCAAAATAAAACAGTTATGTGTTTGTTGTGCCAAAATAAAGATGAAGAGATAATACCAATGAAATGCTATATATTTACAAATCAAATTCATGGTTAGTCCTTAGAAAAGTTAGATAACATTATATAATGAGATGCTTAACTTGTCTTATGTGTGAAATCAACCCTGATC